AACACTACCATTTGACAAAACACCAATACCATTGCAGATTTAATCAATACCAATACGACAAAAACTATACCAATGCAACAAAATCAATACCAATACTACAAAAACAATACCAATGCGACAAAAAAAAAACAATACTATACTGTTTCCTAAAACAAACAATCAACCACTACCAAAACAAAACAAAAAAACATATATAGGTTTTACTGTTCTCCTCAGTCGTCTCTTGTGGAGAGAGAGAGAGAGAGAGAGAGAGAGAGAGAGAGAGAGAGAGAGAGAGAGAGAGAGAGAGAGAGAGAGAGAGAGAGAGAGAGAGAGAGAGAGGAGGAATGGGAGGAGGTTGGCGGAGGGGGCAGAGGTGGCTGGAGGGGGAGAGTGAGGGCAGCGGTGGGGAGAGTAACGGTAGGCAGTCGTTGTCGCCGATATGAGAGAGAAGGAGGCGGGCGACAATAGTCGCCGGGAAGAGATGCGGTTGGGAGAGAAATATATATTATTAGGGTTGAAAAGAGAGGGAGGGTGAGATTATAGGGAATAGGAATCAGATGCGTTAAAATTTTGATTTCCAAAATTACTCTAAATGAATTTTGACCGTAAGATTAAAATAGAAGGAAAAATAGAAAATCTAATGGTGTACAAAGAGGTTGCCACTATGGCTACCAAAAAACTAGTAGCCACCCTAACCCATTCCTACATGAAATCGTACCGAAAGCTGTACCGGAAAAGTCAGCAGTAAGGTATTTTATGAAAAAATCGTGGTTTAACCGTAGTTCAACTGTTAGTATCGTTAAATACCGCCTATCGATTTAGCCTCCGATACTGATATTTTATGGTTGAACCTAGGGGTGGGAAAACGGTTGCGGTTTTGCGGTTAAACCGCAACCGCACCGAATAAGAGCGGTTTGTGGTTAACCGCAAACCGTTTAAAAGGGTCTTTATTCGGTAACAGTTAGTGAAATTGACTCTTTTGCAGTTTGTGGACTGACCGCACACCGCACCGAATAAGTAACTCCACCGAATAACTAACCGCATAAGAGTATACCCAACCCAAGCCCAACCCATCCAACAACCCAAAATGAATTTTCCAGGTGCATTTTCCGTATTAGAACTTAATGTGGATGGTTTCTTTTGGATGTTTAGAACTTAATTCTGTTTCTGACTTTTCTAGGTGCATTTTCCTTGTTTTAGTGTTAATTTCTCAAGTGCATGTTGCTGGATTTTACAGGTTAATTTGGTATTTTGTTGCGGTTTTATTTCATTTCGCGGTTTTTTACACCATTTAACTCTTAATCGCGGTGTACGGTTTAAAGTGCAGTTAACCGCAATTAACCACTAACCGTGATTTGCGGTTAATGGTTAACCGCAAACCGTTTGCATTGCGGTAACGGTGGATGGTTTTCCCCTTGTGCGGTGGCGGTTAACCGCGCTTATTCGGTGCAGTTAACCGCAACCGCACCGTTTCCCACCCCTAGTTGAAGCGTCGGTACGGTGCGATTTCATGGACCATGATTTTTAGTTCGGCATTATAATCCTATTTGGTCTCGAGCAAAAACCCAAGTGGGAGGGTTGAACCTAAAACAAAAACCAAATCAGGGATGGGAGTGAACCTGACATCCATCCACATCGATCCCATAAAATTTGGGTTCTTTGGTATACTTCGAGATCGTTTGGAAGTTGTGATTCTTCAAATTGATGTATTCAGTCAATTTGTGTATTATCATTTGATGTATTAAATCAATTGATGTATTAGACAAATACCTTGTTTGTAGGTTTAGATTGTGTTTTGTTGTAAAGCCACAAAAGTTCATTTTGAGTGATCGAGAAGAATCTCAACAAAAAGTAGAGATTGATAATCCCTCAATTTTGAGTGATTGTGGTAGGGCCTCTAAAAAGTTCATGCATGTATTCTAGAGTTCAATATAAGCTACAAAAATGACTTAATCTCACAAATACACGAAGCTCAATACACCATTTGAAATCACAACTTCCAAACAAACCTCATCTTTCAACACCAGTCAACAATGGAGCATATATTTACAAACTACAATTCTAATAATTCATCACTTGAATTCGAGTCGATTAGATAGGTGCAATCCGATGTAGATAAATTATTTGTGGATATACATAAAATTTGAACCCAAATAAAATACATGATTTGACACTATTCAATTTGAATCAAAGGGATTTAACTTCCATATGTTTATTTATTTATTTATTTTTACAAATAATCTTTCTTTCTTTTTCATTATGTTTGGTATAGGCAGTACATACAATATATCCTCATGAATTGTGTAACGACAACAAACTACTGATTGTGTGTTAACACACGAGTTGAGATGATGTAGGGAAAATTACTATCTTCGGATATCAATCATACGATGAGACTAACTGATGTTTCATATTGTAGACATAACTCTCAAGATACAGTCTTACACGTCTCTCAAGAACTCGAGATGTTGAGACTAACTGATGTTTCATATCATCATATGATATCGTAGTCTTATAGAGGAAGGTCGTATCTTTCAATTCTAGTAATCTTGAATAAAAGGCTCGGTTGAAGCACAACACGATATGATAGATTTGTGCAAACTTCAAATTATAAATGGAGCGTGCAATTGAATGATATAAGACCTAGTCTTAATTGTCTCCTACCCACTGGAATTATTGGAATCGACTAACCAGAAATTATAGACATAAAACTTTAGCATAGTAGTTAGTACACTACACATCCCACATCCAATCAAAATAGAAAGAAAGTGACTACACTGACTAAGATTAACACAGCCTCATTTGCATCCTTTTCTTCTACCTAATAATGTAACAACTAACTTCCCCCCTTTCCCATCAAAAGCAAATCCCAAATTTCACCCTTCGTTAGTGACATTTTCAATTGATTAATTATGCAGACGACAACTCCTTAACAAAATTCTGCTGGCTGGCTGGCTTGAATTAGGAGGAATTAAGCTTGTTAATGTTATGTGTGCAAATTCAGTGAACCTTTTTTTAGGTTTTGGGGGGCAACAAATTCAGTGTACCTTTTGTTAAATATATATTCTTGATCGTTTTCTTGGAGGGGAATATTACATTGGCAATGATTGGATTGGACGGTGGAGAGGCCTTCTCAGAAAAATAAATAAAAATAAAAACTAAAACAAAAAAAAAACATCATATCCATTTCCCTAGTCCACAGATGTTGCAGTCCTGCCCCACTAGTCATGTCGGCTGGGCTTTTTATCGAATCTGAAACCCAATTGTGAACTTTTAAGGGCCCGTATACCCTGACTTATTTGGGCCTGGATGGGGTTCCATCAAAGCCCCATCAGTTTATATATCCACCTGTTTCCATGGTTTTTGTCAATCCATGTTTCCAATTTCCATACTACTCTCAAGTAAGGGCTAAAATGAACAACCGCCAAAAACATAAATGTTAACCATGTCATCTTTCTACTGACAAGCCCCAAACGTTATGGAATTGTACATTGATAAATCCTTAATCATACTCAAGTCACAATGTTATAACGCTATATCATATCATCTGAAGTGGCTCGAGTAGCAAGGCATGTGTTTGTAACGGTATGCATTTGGGTTCATTTTCCACCCAAACGTTATGGATTGTACATTTGATAATTCCTTAATGATACACAACACAAGTCACAATGTTATAACGCTATATCATATCATCTGAAGTGGTTCGAGTAGCAAGGCACGTGTTTGTGACGGTATGCATTTGGTTTCATTTTCCACCGTTTGTTTCATGAAAATTTCTTAGTGATCTTCTCAGGCAGGCTATATATAACGTTGTACCGAACTGGCCGTTCTCATATTAATTTTTTTTTCACGAGTCATAGTAGTTTTGTGCTTATGCCATAGCCCATAAGATCCAAAAATATATAAACGAAAAAAAATTAAAAATGTAGCCCCAAGCCCCCAACCTTATACTGTCAGCTGGGCTTTGTTCGATATAGGCCTGTAACAACTTTAAGGTTCTTTTACTTCTTTATCTTACTCAAAAGGGCCTTAGTTGGGTACATATTAGGTCCAATAGCCCAATACCCAAGGTCCAATAGCACAATACAAGAATGCCAAAAATGAATGAATAAACTGTAATTGCTCTCGTTGAGAGTCGAACTCAAGACCTCCCGCTTACTAAACGGGTGCTCTAACCAACTGAGCTACGAGAGCTTGTTAAAAAAACTTCCACTGTACTATATTTGTCCAAATTCATATGATGTGACTTGGGGTCACATGTTGTGCGTTTCAAGCTCCAACTTCCAATCAGTCACGTCAACGTGTGACCCTACGAAGTCCTCAAATGAATTTGCACCGCACATTGTGAGCCAAATGGAAGAAGTTCGTTCTGGTCCATGAACTTATAGAGTTGCCCACTAAAGAATAAAATATATTGCTAATAAGGTTCTCTATGTTGATATTCTAAATGCCACAACACTTGCAACTAGGGTAAGTATCTCGTAGATGACTAGGTTTGAATAAGAGGCTGTGTTTGAATAAGAGAGTACCGGGTCGCAAACGTTTGAAACATTATATACTTTATACTAAATTTTGTAGAAGTTATTCGTCATTATTCATAATACACGCACAATCAAATTTTTTTTCGATCCGGCATTTCGGTTTCTTCAACTTCTGAATGTAAATTTTGAGGTTGGAAATTGAGATGGTGATAGAGCTTGCACTTGATTTATCTTGTGCCTTCGTTACTCAAAGTAGATTTAAGTACACGATGCCCTTTTCGCCGATAATTTATGTATGTGATGTCTTGATCAACACCTCGTACTATATGTTTTGATAAATACGACAAAGAGTATTAGATTGTTTGTTGAGTTTTGTTTTGTACAACGAATAGTGAATATAAAAAGTTGTAGATGAGTTAATTTCTGTGCATCAATCTGTAATAAAGTAAAAGATTGAGCACCACTGCCACGACAAGTCCAGTCGGCTCAACGAGGCCCTTTTCTGCAAAAACACTTCTTTTGGGAAAAGGAAAAGGGAAGTTATCCCCTTTGGCTGAAATAGAAGGAGAGAGCCAAAGCCAACCAAGCAGAACTGTGAAAGGGTGAGCCAGTGGGAAAGCCGAGCTGCGGAGTTGGTGGAGAAGAAAGAACGAAACTTCTCTCTTTCTCTCTCTCTCCTCCTCCTCCTCTTCCCGGTTCCTTCCTTCCTCACTCTCTCCCCCTCTTTCTCGCTCTAGGGTTTTGGTTCTCCCCCCCAATTCTCGATCAAATTCCGACGAACCCACCTTGCCAAATTCACCGCGATTTCGCTTCTTTCCTTTGTCCGCCGATCGAACTGAAATTAGCTGCCATCTGGGCTCCGATCGAGGGAAGGGAGAAAAACCAAGTTTCTAATTAGTTTCGCGAATGGCTTCCGACACATGGGGCTCCCGATTCTCCACTACTCGCCGCTACCAATCTCGACCCGGTCAGTTGAAGGATATCTGCCCTCTTTATTATGAATTTTCCCCCCCTCCGCGAAATGGGTTTGTAGCTGATTTTCGAGTTGGATGTTGTGACTGTAGATCAATTTGAGGAAGGGGAGGTGGAAGATGATTCCAAAGCTGAGTTCTTGTGCCCGTTTTGCGCCGAGGATTTCGATGTCTTGGGGCTCTGTTGTCATATGGACGAGGAGCATCCCGTCGAGACCAAAAATGGGGTATCTTGTCTTCGTAACTTAGCATCATTTCCCCCTTCTCTCGTCTTTGTTATCACTCGTTCATTGTGGACTAGTTTTTTTTAATGCACTCTGCGACTTCTTTTCATTTCTTCAGTCGATACATTTTGGCTTGTTTGGTTCCTTAGTTCCTTCTTTAGCTACAGTCAAATGCCAGGAAACAGTATTCTAATGGCGCCTCTTAGGGTCGTTTATTTCATTTCTATCTGAATGGATAAGTGTTCGCTTAGTTCCTTCTGAGTTTATTGCTTCAGTATTTTAAGAGATTATCATATAATGCTTAATGCATGTGCGCGATCCTTTCCGTTTCATGTTACACTTCTGCTGGTTTTGCCAACGAACCCCTCGTACTGATTAGTTGCTGTTGTTGTTGTTCCAATTGTTCTCCTTCAGGTGTGCCCTGTCTGTGCTAAAAGAGTGGGAATGGATATAGTTGGCCACATCACTACACAACATCAGAACTTCTTTAAGATATCCTTTGCTTCTTCAAAGTGGTTATCCTTGTGTTGTTAAAGTGGTTCAGCTGTTGATATACATAGGCTAAACATACTGCATTTTATCACCGAAATTTAGTGCATCTCATTCTCTTGGCTGATCTTATGATTTTACGCTAAGATAGGAGACGCTAAAATTCATAATGATACTGTTACAGCATATGAATTTGCCTATACTCCATTTTCACTCTTGCTTCTCCTAGTACATGGGATTCCTTGACTTTGACATCACGTCCAGCGCAAAAGAAGGTTGCGCAAAGGTGGATCCAACACGCCGTTTGCGATATTGAGGAAAGAACTCCGCGATGGAAGCTTACAGTCGCTCCTTGGTGGATCTTCATACTTCGCCTCGACTACAGAGCCTGATCCGCTGCTCTCTTCCTTCATGTTTAGTCCTGCTGGACTCAGTGAACCGAAATCCATTCTCCCTGCTGCTGCTTCAGATGTCGCAACAAGTCCAGCAATGGTAAAACCGATCGAGGAATCACTAGAAAGGTATAACACCTTGGGTCTTTGTTCTGTTCAGTTTCCTCTTCTTTCGATGCTCCATTTTGTTCCAATTGGTTGGCACCTTTTGACCGCCTCTGGTTGGCCTAGTGACCGACTTCTTCATCAAGTGCACTCCCATCTTCCAACTAGTACCCTTCAAAACCAAATTTTAGACTGATGTGAACCCCATATCTACCCATTTATACTATGAAGCCTCCAGATACTTGTGTGCTTCTCTCATGGTGATTTCCTTTGGACCTTGACAGGGTTGTAGAGCCATCATCGAATGCGGTATCAGACAAGGACCACGAGGAGAGGTCTCGTCGATGCGAGTTTGTTCGAGGATTGGTGCTGTCCACCATCCTAGATGAGTTATGAGTTAGCTGGAATAATGGAGAGATGTTCTCTTCTCTGTGAAGTCTGTAGTATATATATAAGGTAATGGTGTACTGAAATGAGGAGAGGGGAAAATGGCCAAAAAGTGTCCATTTCATGCTTACCTAATGTACCGATGGCACAGAATCATCCATATCTGTAACATAATATATTATATATTATCGTTTATATAATTTTAAAATTATCATAATTTTGCACCGATGACAACCAGGAGATAACCAAAACTACCCATTTTGTTGGTTTGCTTTCATGTTTCACTGAAACCAACAAGAAAATCAGTGTTCATAAATTAAGCATCATTCTTGATATTGACAAATGACAACGTTGACTATGTCATAGCTCATAAGGACGTGTCTGACAACAATTTTAAGATTTTGACAATATTAAACATCATTCAAAGATCGAAAGTGTTGTAAAAACTCATTGTTATAAGAATCAAATCAGATAGCTTTAATTCAATTGATTCTTAACAAATTAGTATTAATTCAATTAATTCTTAAAAAATTAGTATTTGCAATTTGTGAGAATAGTTGGGCAATAGAACCACTAAACCAGTCACAATATCAGTTTGCTTCATTTGATTGGATGGTTAGATATGAACTCAACGGTTATTAACGGTTTGATATGAAACCAACTGAACCATCATAGTTTAACTAGTCTATTGTTCACTATTTTTAACCACAAAAATAACTAAGAATAAAATACGTTAACATAGACTAAGACAATTCAACCTCAATCACTAAATTTATTTATCCTTTCTTTTTTCGTATCTCAATCTCCTTGTTGGATTTATCTGGTTAGCTATGAATTTTTGTTATTTTTAGTGACTTCAAGTTAATACAAAAATTATGATTTCTTTTGTTATATAGTTTGAATACTTTGTTTGAACTTTTTGGTAATAGATGATATAAATTTAAAATTTTTAAGGTTAGTAATAAATTTTTCAACCAGTGAACGATCAATCACAACAATCAACCAATGAACAGTTCCATAACGATCAACCGGCGTGTAATAATTGTCGTTCTTTTTACAGCATGAACGGTTCCATAAGGATCAACCACTGAACAATCAACCACAAACTTTTCCAGTTTACCATCCGATCTAGTTCTGAAACTATTGACATTACCTATAGGTACATCTTTTGTGGACATTAGTGATTCAACAATAGATTAAAAGCTAAGCATCGCTAATAGCAATCTAAAAATGACAAGTTCTGTAGAGAAGAAAGAACACCATGAAATAACTAAAACCAACTACTTACCATACAAATTGTACTGTTCATTCATCTCTGAGTTTAGATCTAAGTAAAAACAACTGTATATACACAATTCCATCATATCTTCTTCATCTTCATCATCATCTGCTAAACCTTATTTGATGTAAGAAACAGGAGAAGTTTATAGGTTTCCCATATATTGTACAGTCGACTACCCACAGGGCAGACCACAAACTTATCAATCCAGGGGAAAGCACCTTATGTATCATCATCTCCAAATAGGAGAGATACCTTGTGTACAAAAGCTATAAAACTACACATGGTGTTCTATGGCCCCCTTTTTATTACAAAGGCAGACACTCTTTTCATCACCCATATGAGTTTTTCAAGCTTCAGAAGAAGAAATCCTGGAGACAAACACCATAACGATATATAGTTTTTCTTCCTCCCCCCAAACAAGAAGTGACAACATTAACAATGGAGCCAAAAAAAACATAGAGCAATGTGCGATCAAAATGGGTCTCTCTTCCAGGATATTAAAAAGGTGTGGTGCCATTACCTTTTCCGAATTTCAAGGATAACAGGGAACCCTCTGTCACCTCCAGCTCGAGCTGTGGGAGACGAAGAACATGTAGTCCGGATGATTCACTTGCAGAAGCCGTAGCCAGGTTTCAGCAGCACGCTGAAGTGAATTCACTTTTGGACAGTCGTAAGTTCCATTTGGGATCCAGAATGAAGCCTTCAACTTATAAGAGGCGAGACCAAAGCTATAGAGCGATAGCTTGGACATGTCGGCGGATTGGGCATCCATCCGGGTGCCAATAATTGGTATTCCATCTGTGTTTCGACCTGGGACAAGACAAGAAGAAGACAACTAGATCATGATCGATCCAGACCTATACTAATTTGGTTTGATTTAATAATGGACTGGGTGGGCAACAGTTCGATCCGCATTGGAACAAACCAAGACCGAATCGAGGTATAACTTGCGTTAAGTTTCGATTCTCAAACTCAACAGTTTCTTTGTTTTTTCACTCCATTGTATCAACTCACAAACAAAGAAACTGAACTAAACATGGACAGACCAAAGACACCGATCTCATATTTTCTTCACTTGTTGCATATTGTTCCACAGAAAAATAACTTAATAGGGAACCTGTTAGTAAGCACATTCTCCGGAGAAAAGAGAAGCTACCTTGAAAGGCAGAAGGTGTCGATAGAGAATGGAATGTCAAAAAGCATGCATCCAGATTCTGTAATGTTGGACCAGTAGGTATCCTGTAGATTGGGTACCAAGCTACAGACATCCAACTAGCAGGAGTGAGGTCACAGCTTTTGCATGTTTTGAGCTCTGGAAACTGAGAAGCAAGGACTGCAATCTGTATACCCAAGGTTTCAAAAGTTAGGAGACCTGATGTATGAACAAACTTGATTACTATTGATCCCAGTACAGGATATTACCTGGTCTGCCAATGGCTGGCGGTGGAAAGGCGACTCATGCTCCATATACTCAAAGATGAGTTGGCCAGGGTTATTAGAAATATCATTTTCGTCACTAGATGATCCCCTAGACGGCTTACTTCTCAAGGAAAGTCCATTCAGAATTGGAACATTAGAATCAACGCCATTTTGCTGGTTCCATGGCCCCCGTGCACCATGTTTCGCTCCTCCATAATCACTGCTACTGTCACTACTTGTTTCTCTGGAAGATTCTGTATCACTATCCTCACCGTGCCTGCAAAATGATGGAACAAACAGGCACATCACGTATCCTAGCTGACTGGCAATTCAATGTTAAGCTTGAGAAACAGAAGGACAGTAGTTTTTTAAAGTTTTTTTTATCAACAGAAAGCTGTAAAAACTAGCTATAGTTCAAACTAATCCTACTGATGAGATAAAAAGAATAAATCCAAATGGAGTACATTGAAAATAATGCTTGCCAGAAAGATAGTTTACTGCTGCTCTGGCAGGCATTTCAATGCAATATCTATTTAACTGTTACCAATCTGATTCCTAGATATGCGATCTCAAAAGGTAAGATATTGCATCATGTAAGCAGATTTCATGTCCTGCTGGTGAGTCTGAGTTAACTAAAAGATGGACAAGTAATTGCCCTGAAAGAAGGCCCAGGAGTTGGCATTCAACACAATCTACAGAACGGTTATCAGTATCTAGTCGTCCAATCTAGAGCAATGAACAACTGCATCATCTCATCTAGGAGATAGATATTGAACTGACAACCATGACACAGTAACAACACACCACTCCAACTAAAACAAGAACCAGGATAAGAAACCAACCACCAAACATACGGCCAAGAAACCAGAAGCCAAAAAAGGAAGGAAGTGATGCATTCAAAGCAGAACAATTATTCCTAGTAACAGTGTTAATTCCAGCAAACAACAATAACCAAGCAAACATCACCAAGAAGAACCCATTATGCAAGCTGAACAAGCACCGACGTTAGTTTGGAAGAAAAAACCAGAAAATAAGTAATCACCTTCGCCTTGTGGATTGTTTTGAGGCATCCTTATACAGCTGAATGCCGGAGAGGTAAGGGACATAATACTGGATGACAGTCTCACTGCCATCCAAAAGAAGGGGAACACCAACACCATATGCACTCCACTCCTTCAAAGACTCCCACAAATCATCCAAAACAAAGTAGGGGTGTTGGTGATGCTCCTCACCTCTTCTCCATCCTTTAACGCTAGTCTACAAAACCAGAATACTTGAATCTATCAGCGCTGTATGTAGTCCAACACAGAAAGGCCAACTCGCAAATTGAGTTCATTAAGATTCTCTTATATACCCTGACGGAGTTCAATCAGCTATTCATAAGTTAATCTACAACTGCCCAGTTGACCATTAACACAGCAGGTAAAAAACATGAGCAGTTTAAAACACAGAAGACTTCCGAAGTAAAACCCTACAGAAACGATTTAAATACCCAAAGACCAGATTAGATCCAGAAGCAAAGACCTTCCCCTTACAGTATGTTGAAGAGCACAACAAAGAGTGAAAGAAGGACCAAATTTAAACACATCCAGAAAACGGATCCCTCATAATCCCCAACCAGAAATTAGGGATTACCTTAGGTTGCAGTTGGGCAGCAACCACGGGAGTGGTGAACTCCAAGAACCGATCCAAATTGGTGTGGATGCCGTCCGTACTCGGTCTCCCAGGGACGGAACAATTCGAGGCGGTGGAGGAAGTAGAAGAGGAACGGCACTGATCGGCGTCTACCCTCTTCTCGATCTCAGGCGAAGTACCATTCATCGGTGGATTCGCCGGCTTCTGCTGCTGCTGTTGCTGCTGCGGCTGATACCTTTGCTGCGGCTGCTGCTGCGGTTGCTGACTATTCTGCTGATGCCTCCTTCGCTGCTGCTGTTGCTGAAGCTGCACATGAGGCTTGCGCATGGCGGGAGAAACGTAGAATCGGCCGTCTCCGCGGGCTCTGGCCGTCGTAACTCCACCGGAACCCGACATTGCTAAAGGAGAAGAAAACGAAGTCGCGAAGTAGCAAAAAAACACGAGACGACGGCACAGAACCGGCGTCCAAAACCCTTTCCGCCCCTCGCCGATTCAGAGATTAAAACAAACACAAATCGGCGATAGGAAAACGCGAAAGAGACAAGAGGCGGAAATAAAGAGTTTGATAACTCCGGTGAACTGGTCGGTGGCAAAGAAGCGAGATTTCCAACTCGGGACTCGGCGCGCAGGAAAGGGTTAGTAAGGAGCGAACTCGGGGGGCCAGGGGTCGTTGACGGCGGCGGCGGCAGCAGGGGTTTCCAGAAGAGATGCGGCGGTTCGAGAGACGAACCGACGGAAGTCCAAATCGCTTTATCTTCTTCTGCTTCTACTTCGTCTTCCTTCTTTCTTCGGCTGGACGAATCGCTGTCTCCGATTTCGCGTGTAATAATTGAACGTTTTGGGAAATGAATTTGGGGGAATTTCTAGGGTTGTTGTTGTTGCTTTGCTTAGATTGAATT